ATTTCTTTTTGCTAAAACACCTGAGAGTAAGTTGCAGCTATCATGGCATTTCACCCCTGGATACTTACATATCATATAATTTTTTTTTTTTTTTTTGAGACAGGGTTTCTCTGTGTAGCTTTGGAGCCTTTCCTGGAACTCACTCTGTAGACCAGGCTGGCCTCGAACTCACAGAGATCCACCTGCCTCTACCTCTCGAGTAGGATTAAAGGCATGCGCCACCACCACCTAGCTCATATAACACTTTTAATCCTAGCACTTGGGAGGCAGAGTCAGTTAGATCTCTGTGAGTTCAAGGCCAGCCTGGTCTACAGAGCAAGCCCAAGGACAGCCAAGGCTACACAGAGAAACCCTGTCTTGAAAAACAAAACAACCAAAACCAAACAAACAAAAAGAATAAAACATTTTGGAACCCTTAATAAGTGTAGTACCAGCTACCCGGGGACTGGGATGTCAGGATCACTTGATCCTAAAGTTCTAGACTGGCCTGGGCCACCTCAGAACAAACAAATAAACCAAACCAAGACAAAACACTCCCAATCCTCAAGGAATAGGACCTTCTCCAAAATAACCATAGTGCACTCATATATGTAGGAACTTCATTTAAAGTGAATAATATCTAATGTGTAGTACCTACAGTATCCTTTAGATTTTATGTTTTAGGAATTGGGATCCTTTTCTTTGGTATTTCTTTTTGATGCATGTGGCTGAGGAGGTGCCATCTAGTGGTATATACTACTGATTGACTCTTTTAAAAATTATTTTGTTTTTAATTATGTATGTATATGACTGTGCATGGGTATGTGCACATGTGTGCTGGTGTCTGTAGAGTCTGGAATTGAGCACCTGATCCCCCAAAGCCGGAGTTACATGCAACTGTGAGCTGGGTCCTCTGTATGTGTGTTAGTATGTGCTACTAACTCTCTAGCCCCAGCATTAAAAGTTTTAGTATTAGTGCCACACTGTCTCTCTCCTGCAGAAACATTAAAAAAAAATGAGTGTGACAACCTTTACTAGGTTTATCTAGGTTCTTCTTCCACCTTTATTTTTGAGGTATAGTTTATGTGCAATAAAATCTATGGTTAGATTTAATGGCTAGGTTGATTTTTATGTTTGTGTACAACTTCTAAGTCGTCACTCAGGTAAGATGGGTGTCTGAGTTGTCAGCTCCCGAGAGCTTCTTGTGCTCTTCCTTTACCAGTTCTTCCTTGAAAAGTAATTACTGGTTCTGGCTTCTGCCACCACAGGCTAATTTTTGACCGGTTTGAGCTATGTAAAAAACACAGGGGCTGGCAGGATGGCTCAGTGGGTAAAGGTATGTGCTACCATGCTTGAAGACCTGAGTTGGATCCCTGGGACTTACATGGTGGAAGGAGAGTACTGACTTGTGCAAGTTGTCCTTGGGCCTCATGGGTGCCATGACCCATGGACTCACATACATAAATATAAAAATATAGTAAAAATAGGAAATATCTTGGAAGTTTTTATTCTTATCTTTGGTGTCTTTACTTCAGCATTACATTTGTGACTTTTAATTTACTATGTGAACAGCAGTGGTTTTTTCCCCCCTCTGAAGTATCCTATTATATAACTATAATTTATCATGTTGGTGAACAATTAGGCCATTTACATTTCTGTCCTATGAGTAAGGCTGCTGTGAATGTTACTGTATATGTCTTTGGGTGGTATAAGACTCATAGCTGTTGGTGATATCTAGGAGCAGGTCAGGAGGTAGACGTCCAGAACAGTGGGAAGTTGCTGCATTTAATTTTGGAGTGACACGGAACTAAGGTATTCAGTTAGCCAAATGAAATGTTATCCAGGTTTAATTTTTGTTTGTTCTTGCTCTCGTTCATGTTCTTCTTGTTCCTCCTCCTCCTTTCTCAGTGTTTCTTCTTCCTCTTCTCCGTGTGTGTGTGTGTGTGTGTGTGTGTGTGTGTGTGTGTGTGAGAGAACTCTGTGCACATGGAGTTCAGAGGACAACTTTGTGGAGTAATTTTTCTTCCACCTTTACTGGTTTTGGGGCTTGAATTCTGGTCACTAGGCTTGTATGGTAAAGCCACTTTTGTCTACTGAACCATGTTGTGGACCTTAGCCAGGCTTTTAACTAGATGAGTTAGTGGTAACTTGCTATTATATGGGATTGGCTTGTTAGGTTAGAGGTTCTCAAACTAGGGTCCTTAAGAATCAACTAAGTGATTTATTACCAGTTCAGATTTCTTTGAGTCCAATTCGGAGATTCTGGTTTTATAGAGAATGGAGTCCAGGAATCTTCATGTTAAGAAAAGTTTTAATTTTGATGTAGTAGATCAAGAACTCATTTCAAGAAACGGACTTTATTGTAAGGCTCTTTAACTCGTATAGGACTGTACTTGATGAGAATTATGTTTTGGTGTGTTGGGTTTCATGTGGAAGTAATGGGAGTGTACAGCTAACGAGTCCGATTGCAGCGCAGTCTTGGAAGAGTTTTGTGGCTAATTTGTTCTGTATATTGCCTTGGAGGGTTGAAAGGATTGAGGATTTTCAAAGGGAAGGCAGGTTTTTTTTTTTTTTTTTTTTTTTTTTAACATTTTATTAGGTTTAGCTTAGACTCCGACTTGAAGTATTGGGACTGATAGATGTTAGAGCTCTAACTGATGAGTGTGCTTTCTGAGTTGTGGCCTTGCTCCAGGAAGCTGAAAAGCTAGCTGCATATTTCTTTCTTGTTCAGCAGCAGAGATTAGAGATTTCTTTTTGACATTCTGTTTAATAAGAAAAAATTGTGTGTGTGTGTGTGTGTGTGTGTGTG